CTGAATTTTTCAAAGAAAAAAATATCTGTTTTGCTTTATGGGATGTTCGTTTACAAACATTTTTGAAGAAATTCCGACAACGAAATTTCAAATTTTTTTGATTAGGGGTTTAATTTCTGCCGCAATTTAACAGATGAGATAAGTCCTTTCGTGAATCACTGCAGCACTGTCAATGCTGACTTCCGCATTCGAAGAATACCTCAGCTTCAGCGCTGCTAAAAGAACGTACGTAGAAGGTAATGGTAGAAAGACAACCCATGTAATAGTTGCAGTATTATATATGTCATACAACAGACCATACATCAGCTACTCAGCAGCCATTACAATGTACACAAAAATCAAAAATAATTGGCCAACACAAGGGCTGCTCGCGCGAAGATGCTTTTTTTGCAAAGAACCCCGCAGATTTTTGACGCTAACTGGACTGGTTTTTCCGACAGATGCTCCTAGCTAAAAAATTTCAGACTGACCGCCAGAACTATCAGGAAACATTCCCTCAAAATTCCAGTTTTCTAGCTTCTCACGTTCTCAAGTTAGCAACTTACTCGGAAGAAACATTCACTGGCCCGTAGGTAAGTACCACGCTTACGCGCGGGTAGGGTTTGAACTCGCCAACACCTACTTGGCCGGGAACATCACCCTAAGATTTCAGCGTTCTAGCTTCACAGATCCCCGAGTTATGAACTTACCCGAAAAAAATTTTGGTGGGCTCGTACGCGAGTACCACGCCAACCTGGGGAGTGGGTTCAGTGTATTAACATCTACTTGGACGGGGAACAACCCCTCAGATTTCAGCGTTCTAGCTTCTCAGATCCCCGAGTTATGAGCTTATTCCACAAAAAATTTGGCAGGCCCGCACGCGGATACCACACTTACTCGGAGGATGGGTTTCAGTGCATTAACACCTACTTGTACGGAGAACATCACCTTAAGATTTCAGCGTTCTTTTCCCATCCAAGTGGGCATTAACGAGCTTAAACCTGGCCTCGTGTAAGCGTGGTACCCACGTAAGGCCCGCCAAAATTTTTCACAAGTAAGGTGATAACTTGGGGATCTGGGATGCTAGAAAGCTGAAATCTAAAGGGGATGTCCCTCGTCCAAGTAGGTATTAAGGGGCTCAACGCCAGTCCTCGGGTGAGCGTGGTACCCGCGTATAAGTCCGCTAAAATCTTCTGCGGGTAAGTTGATAACTCGCGAACCAGAAAAGCTAGAAAGCTGAAATTCCGAGGGGACGTTCCCCGTCCAAGTAAGTATAAATGAGCTCAAATCCAATCCCCGGGTAAGCGTGGCACCTGCGTACGGGCCCGCCAAAATTTTTCCCGGGTATGTCCATAACTCGGGGATCTGAGACGCTAGAAAGCTAAAATCTTAAAGAAACGTTCCCCGCCAAAGTAGATATTAATGGACTCAAATCCAGCCCCTGGGTAAGCGTGGTACCCACGTATGGGTCCGCCAAAGTTTTTTTCGGGTAAGTTGATAACTCGAGAAACTGAAAAGCTAGAAGACTGTAATATTAAGAGGATGTTGTCCGTCTACATTAGTCTCAAGGAGCTTTCCCGCGTAAATTCATAACTCGTTTTCACGCGTAAATTCATAACTCGGGGTTCTGATATGCTAGAAAGCTGAAATTTTAAGGGAATGTTCCCCGTCCA